CTTCAGTACCATATAGTAGGCACTTAATTGTTGAATGAATTAACTAATCTCTAAGAAATTTTTTAAATGAGCACCAAGAGTCTTTAAGAAAAGTGTTATTATTAATGATTTATATAAAGAATTCATCAAATTAACAAGGTAACATTCCAGAAAATATATATTTAAGGTAGGTTTTGTCCAGGCAATCACTGATTTGTTTGGAGGTGGTCCTGGAGTAGTGTTAGGAGAATTAAAGTCTGTTTTTAAGTAACATGATAAAGGTATCCTTTCTGCAATTTTTTTTCTTGGCTCAGAAAATTCACTTTAGGTGGTAAGTAACTGATACATTTAATAACATCCTCACCCTATTTTCATCTATGATGCATGAAGAGACGTTTGGGTTTCTTGTCTGTAGAATGAAGAGTTTGTATTAGACGACATTCAATTTTACTTCTGACTTCTGGATTTTTAGGTAGTTAAGGGATTTGAGGTATAGTGGTATAGCAATATTTCCGATATGGAGACTTAATCTCTTCATGGTTTGGTAGCATCAAAATCCATTGATCTTTGTTATGTTAGAGACAATCTAATTCAATATTATTTTATAAATGAGAAAATTAAAGTTGAGAGAGATTAAGTGACCAGTCCAGGGTCACACATAACTAGTTGAGTAGAACTGGGATTTGAATGCATATCCTGTGACGCCAAATTCAGTTTTCTTTCCACTATACCATGCTGATGAAAGAGATGAAATGACACCATTAACTGAGATATTTGTTGAGTTGAGCCAGAATATAAACGCCATAGATTGGTGATTATTCTGGTACAGTATTTTGTGTTAATACAGTATTACTAAGAAACATTTTATATGGGAATAAATTTTTAAAAAATTATTCATTTAGTACATGCAAAACACTGCTGAGTACTGGGATACAAATTTAAAAAGCAAGACAATATGTTTCCAAGAAATTCACATTCTAATGGAGGAGATAACACTTAAGAGAAGGTTTCAGTTGCAAGTCAGACGGAGAGGTCCCCATGATCTCAGTTTGCAGCAACGAAAGAGGGATGCATCTCCATCTGTGTCATTCCAGTGATAAAATCATACCGCTTTCTGATGCTGAATCATTTGATGGTGCCTACAAAAGGACTTTGGTGATAAGAACTTTATTTTCAAGTTCTTCTGTAGTTTTGGTAATTGGGGGAAAGGGGGATGGTGTTCTAGCACCTGCACAGGCAGTTTCCATGTTGCATTTTCTTCACAAAGGTTATTCACCAAGATGATGGTTGATGGCTTCAGGACCAGGACTAGAAGGACTGGTGGTCTCAGGGGCACTATAACCCATAGAGCTCATGGACTTTCCTGGTTAGCAGTGATGGTGGTGGTGGTGGCAGTGATGGCTGGCCCCTTCTTCACATTCCCTTCAGTGATGGCTGTGGTAGGGCTAGGCTAGAAGCAGAGCCCTCTTGTTTGGCATTTACCAAATAGTTTCGATTTCCATTAATTTATTTATCTTAAAGTTGCACCGGAAATTCTCCAAACCTATGGAATCACAGTTTTGCCCCCTCCTCCTCTCGCCTATCAATTTATCTAAACTTTTCTTGAAGATTTTTTTGAAGTTGGTATGCTATTTGGTGTTATGAGTTTTATATATTTATACCCTATTTGATAAAATCTAGTTCAACCTCTTACAGTACTAGAAAATCCTCTTTGAAATCTTGACTGGAATTCACAGATCATGTACCTCTATAGTACGTTAATAGCCCATATAAAGCGCGTGCTTTATGTCATGAATTCAGTGAGGTGTTTGGCAGATCATATTCTCTCTCTTTATATGTGTGTATATGTATGTACATATATAAAATATATGATACACCTGATGATGTAACATGAAAAGCCTATAATTTGGCTGTTTCTCTGTTTTCTCTAACTTGCTGCCTTGTCAGAGTGAAATGATCGTCAGCCATTATTTTAAATGCTTTTGTATTTTTGAACTATTTTTGCAACATTTTGGATCTATCAGAATCTAAACCCTACCTCTACCCTCCCCCAGTCACCTTTTTGCTTTTTCTTAAAAGTGAAAACAGCAGTTCATCTTTAAGTAATTTAGTCACATGCAGCTGCTGTTTGGATCTTTTGCTACATCCTCGATGACCTTTGTCTTGGCACTTATATTGATTGTATTTCTTGGTGGTTTTCTTTTCTGTTTTCCCTCCCCTAAAAGCCAGCTCTTTCATCCCTAGAACCTCCATTTAGCTCAGAGGTCAGCAGTCTCTTTAATCTTGATTGCTAGTGTGGTTAAGCAGTGTCCTTGCGCACTCCTGGAAAAATCTATGACACACAGATCTGAAAGGCAGAGGAAAAAGAATGGATTGGAGAAAAATGAACAGGGATAGAAATAGAAGGAAGTATTCATATGATTGGGAGTAGAAGAGTGTCATAAGTTGTTTGCTTCTGAGCTAGTGTGTATGTAGATATTTAGACATGAATCTTTAAGATACTTTAGATGATGCTTATTGTGGAAAAAGATACTATAGGACTGGATTTTTGAATTTTGGTCACTGAAAGGGTTTGAATGCCTTAGTTAGAGATGTAGTTTTGTTTTGGTGAAACAGTGAAAACAAGGCCAACCAAACAAACACCTGTGTTGTATGAGAAGACTCATGTAGGACCAGATTTAGGAATTCTTTTATACTGTTCCTTTGCGTAAGTGATCCAAGCATATTCATCTTCTTAGTATGATTCTGTACCCTTTAAAAGAAATTCTAAAAGCGTGTCGTACTAGGAGGATTTTCCAAGCCTTTTGAAAGACCTTCCTTGCTGTTCTTTTTGAGCTTTTCAATGTACTGTCAAAGTATAGCTATCAAGAATTAAAGCTCCAGTAGATTGGATGGTCACCAGTTTGAATTTAGAAGAATCTAACGTTACCTCTTGTTTCCGTGCTGCCTTCAAACACAATTTGAAAATGTTGGAATAGCTTTTTTAAGGTTGAGAGACAAAGCTTTCTTTGTGAAAATGACTGAAAGGAGAGAAATCTGGCTATCTTTTAAAATTCAGTTTATCTAGTTTCAATAACTATGTGACACCCGAACAACAAAGACCTCATGGCATTGTAGAATAAGAAACCTAGTTTTGTATTTTTTCAGGCTATATAATTTTTTTTTCAAGTAGAAAAAAAACAAACAAGGAGTCATCTTATTGCTGTGATTGAATGAGTGAATGCCAGTTTGGAATTTCTTGTAAGCTTGATATATTCACTTACAAATAACCTGGGCGCGTGCGCGCGTGTGCGTGTGTGTGCGTGTGTGTGTGTGTGTGTGTGTGTGTGTGTGTGTGTTTGTTCTCAATTTGGAGGGTGGAAATAGAATTCTAGACTACATTTATCTTTTGTGGCCAGTGAGACATAACTACAAGTCAGGAGTTGAAGATGAAAAGGTTGCTTCTAGAATAGAAGTGAAATGAATCAGTGTGGGGTAGGGGGACAAGTCCCCAATTTTGAGTCAGAGGCCCTGGATTCCACCCTTTATTGTGCTGCTTCTTGGGTGTGTTTGTAATCAGCAGAGAAAAAACAAGTAGATAGCAGGGAAAGATTGAAATTTTAGTAAGCAAAATTTTGGTAATAGTGTGCATGATGAAAATAAGATTCACTTAAGAGCTATCTTATAGATATTATTATTATTATCATTGTTATTCTGTGGCTGTTTTTTTCTACTTCTGGTTTCTCTCATGCTATTGAGTCCAACTAAACGTTGCTGTTCTTGAGCACCTTTCATCAGTGGATTTATTTATTTAATCCAGCTAGTGCAGTGGATTGAATGCTGGACCTGGACTCAGGAAGATTCAAGTTCAGATCTGGTCTCAGACACTTACTAGCTGTATGACATTGGGAAAATCATTTAACTTGTCTGACACGCTTTCTTCAGCTGTGAAAAATGGGGGTAGTAGCACCAACTTCCCAGAGTTGTGAGCATCAAATGAGATAATATTTGTAAAGCAACCTGCACATATTAGGCACTTGATAAATGCTTGTTTCCTTCCTTCCTTAAGCTTTTTGGTGTTACGAAATACAAGAAAGTATAGAACTTGATTGTGTCTTGTCCCAAGTTCACTCTACATTATTGACAAGCCCAAGGTATTTTTTCCTATTCCTTGTTCAGACTCCTATGTTAGATAGACTAACCTGAGGCCCCCCTCAGGGAAGGGTGTCTGCTCCTAGTCTTCCTACATAAAATCTGCACTTTGTTTTATTTTCCAAGCAGTATAGATTTTAAATTTCCTATTATGTTTGCTTTTAGTGAATACACGGGGATTAATTTTTAATAATGTATTTTAAAAATTTGATTATAAATTATAAATATTACAAAGGTCTGTAAATAGTACATGTTTTATTCATTATTTAGAAAAGAAGAAATAGTTTAGGTTTTATATAGTGTTTTACAGATTAGAAAATGCTGTCTGTATATTCTCATTTTGTCCTTACTCTTAGGTGGTATAAGTACTATTTTATATTTATTATTATATTATATTATTATATTATTATATTTATATACTTACTTTATAAGTATATTTTATACATGTGTAAATTGAGGCTCAGAGGGGAGGCTCACAGGCTCAGAGGTTACCTAACTGATAACTAGTTAAGCTAGGGCTTAAACCTGGTTCTTATGACCTTTAAGCGTGGTGTTCTTTTCATTGTGCTTTGTTTTTCCTTTTTCTCTTCTAAGTTTTTCCTTAAAAAGCCATCCTTTTCTCTAGTCAGTGCCTACATTTGTTGATATTTTCTTTTACCCAATGGTACTTAATAATTGTTTTCCTCTCATAGGACTGGGTGCCTTAATTATTACCCATTAGTTTTAAAAAACCTTATATTTTTTGCATTTTCAACTGAAAAGTAAAGAATTCATAACAAACTTTTATATAGATTTATGGAATTCTTAAATATTTGTATTAGAGATTTTTTTTTCATTATATATCTGTTTTATTCTAGTAAGAACTATTTTTAATGAAGTCTTCTTTGCAGATGATGACTTTGATCAGTTTGATAAGCCTGGTGCAGAACGGTCTTGGAGAAGAAGAACTGGGGATGATGACTGGGACAGGTACTTAAAAAATTTTCATATTAAAATGCTGTATTGATTAATCTTAGGGCCCCTGGACTGGCAGTTTGTTCTCTAATGCTTAATAGAAGTTCACGTACACATGAAGTGTTGGTTATGTACATGTTAATGTGTTTTCTATAGTTCTGTATGTTCATGTAAACTATTTTAGTGGGTAGAAGTGACAATATGTGCACATACTGGGGCTTTCAACAAATATACACACACACTGTACAAATATACAATGAATAATTATATGCAGAGTAGTTAAATACAAGGTATTTTAAGAGGGAGGGCACTAGTGGATTGGGGGGGGTCTGGAAATGCTTCATGAAGAAGATGGTGCTTAATCTGCATTTTAAAGGAAGAAAGGGAATCTGTGAGGCTGAGGTAAGGATAGAGTGAATTCCATTAATAGGGAATGACCACAACAAAGGCATGGAGGCCAGAGATGGAGTGAGAAGAACAGAGGGAAGACCAGTCTGGCTGGTCACAGAACATGGGAGGGGGAGGTAATGCACAGTGAATCTGGGAATAGAGTCTGGGACTGGATTGTGTAGGGTTTTAAAAGCTTAAAAATGGAGTTTATATTTAGGAAGCCACTGGAATTGATAGAGTAGGGGATCTAACATGGTTGTTAGATCTGTGCTTAAGGAAAATTACTTAATACATTATTATTTACAAAATAAACAGTTTACAATATGATAGAAAATTACTTAATATAATATTAATATGTATCTTGGGGAAACATTAGTGAAGTTTTTAATATTTTAATATTTAAGCTGTGCTGACTGGGTTATTTGGTTTTGTAATTGGGAGTTGGTCATCTTTGGTATTATTGCCTAAGCAACTGTTCTTAGCCAATCTTTAAGTTATGAGTTATGGGATATGTGTGTGTGTGTGTGTGTGTGTGTGTGTGTGTGTGTGTGTGTACATACACAGTTATATGTTACATATGATATATAATGTGTGCAGATGTACATATATACATATTACAAATATATACATATATTTATATGTGTATTTCTTTTTTGGCAAGGCAGTTGAAGTTAAGTGACTTGTCATGGTCACACAGTAAGTGTCAGGTGTCTGAGGAGGGATTTGAACTTGGTTCTTCTGACTCTGGGGCCTGTGCTTTCTGCACTGTGCTACCTAGCTGCTCTTATATATGCATTATGGAAAACAATGAGTATTTTTTGTAGTAACTTAAAAATGGAAGGCAGCATATCATAGTGGTTAAAGGGTTGACTTTGGAGTCAGGAAGACCTGGTTAAATTCCCACTTCTGTGATGTACTGATTCTGTAATCACAGACAAGACTTAACTTCTTAGTGCTGTAGATAACTCTTTAAGACTAAATTACAAGAGTTGTTAATCTGCATTGGTGGAAGAGGATTCCGAACTGGAAGGTCCCCATATCATAGGTCTGGGCCCCAAACTGTCTAAAACCTGCAGCTTAACAATAACGTGCTAAATCTTCCTTGATAAGTTAATTTCTTTTCAAGAAATTATTTGCTTTTTAGATTTAATGTAATTTTCTTTATTAAATTTTATGCCTCCATTGAGTAATAGCTAATAATAGTAATGTAAATTAGTAGAACTATACAAATTTCTCAATTCGGCTAATATAATTTGCATTAGATTTTGAAAAGACTTGTATTCTTTGATAATCGAATGCCTTTTGTGCAACTGATTTATATTTTTTGTGGAATTGATTCTTTTTGTCTTATGATTTCTGAGTACAACTTTTGTGCCTATCTTTTGGAAATCTGCCAAAGATTGAATCAAATAATGGAATCTTTCCTTTATCTGACATTGGGAAAAGATTTCAGTAGCTCTCTAATTCAGTCCATTCCTGAATAGGAATTCCTTTATTGTCAACTCAGCAAATGGTTATCCAGCCTTTATCTGAAGATCTTCAGTAAGGGAGAACCCACTATTTCTGAAAGGAGCACATTCTAATTTTGGTCACTTCTTTTTTAGTAGGATGTTACATCAAGCCTAAATTTGCATCTTTGCAACTTCTAGCCTTTGCTTCTGGTTCTTCCTGCCAAGAAGCACAAGTTTGGTCCCTTTTCCATGTGGCAGCCTTTCATATATCTTTGAAGAAAGCCATTCTGGTCCTTCCTTAGTCTTTTCTTCAAGCCAAAAAGATCTGTGGTTTCTTCAGCCAGTCCTCATGACATTTACTCAAGGCCTTGCACCATCCTAGTTCTTTCCCGTGAATGATCTCAAGCTTACTAAATTCATTCATTCATTCCTAAAACTTGGGACTGAGAGCATAATATTCCATGTGTGATCTGACCGGAGAAGAATACAATAAGGGCTATCTGGAAGCTTCATTCTCTATAACCACTGCCTAGCCAGTCAGATAGTACTTGTAAATTCTACCTCTACATTGTATTTTGTGTTTATCCCTTCCTCTCCATTTTCACAGCTTCCACTTAATTTGAAGACTCATCACCTTTTGTCTAGGCTATTTTAATAGTCTACAAATGGAACTCCTTGTATCAATTCTCTCCCCTTCCCAATCCTCCAGACTGTTGCTAAAATAATTTTTATAAAGTACTGGTTCACCATGTCACTTTACTGCTCAGTTTTCTGTGGGTCTCTATTGCCTCTAGGTTAAGATAGAAATTTCTATCGTTGTCATTGAAAGCTCTTCACAGTTTGCCTCTAGCCTGCCTTGTCAGACTTGTTTCACATCACTCATGTTAAACTGCTTCTTTTTCCTTGAGCTTGGTGTTCCTTGTCTTGTCTCAGTGTCTTAGCATAGGCTTGCCTTCATGGCCTGGAATGTACTTCCTCCTTTCCTTCACCTCTTAAAATCAGTGCCTTCATTCAACCCTCAGCTCATGTGCTACCTTAAGCATATTATCCCCTCGATGAAATGTGAACTTTCTGAGGGCAGGTACTGAATTTTTTGTTTTGTTTTGTCTTTGTAACCCCCTTCCTGGCTCAGTGCCTTGAATATAGTAGCCTCTTAATTAATGCTTGTTGAATTGAATTAAATTCAGGCCCTCTACCTCCCATGGATTGGCTTAAGTGGTGTCAGCATCGAATAGTAATAATAATAGTAACTCAAAGCACTTGACATACATTTTTATTTCATTTTTACAATAACTCTGTAAGGTAGGGTATCATTATTTCACAGATGTAACTGGATCTTAGAGAAGTTATGAGTTGTACTCATATAACTATTGATGGGCAGAAAACGGACTAGAACTTGGATATTTTGACTTTCAGGCCCAGCAGGGACTGAAATTCACTGTAATGACTGCTTTAAGTAAAGATTCTCAGATTTCGAGGGGGTATAGGAGAGCTCTTCCTGTTTGTTTCCCCAGGGTACTAGATTCCTCCTTGGGTAGCACTGAAAGCGTTTTTTTTTTTTCCACTGAAAAAATAGTATAATTTCCATTGAACTGTGAGGTACCACTTAAACATCTGTGTAGAATCTTTGTACCTCAGTGGCCATATAAGCTACTCTTGTTCACTTCCCACTGTTGCTTTCATGGTTCCTAGGCAAGAGCTGGCCACCTGTTAGCTGTCTGATCACAACCACAACAACAACATCAAAACCTTTCTATTTTATATTGTGTATTAGACTTCCTTTCTATATTGTTGTGGAGGAAAGATCAAAATACATAAAGAAGAGAAGATGTCAGGAAGAGACAAAAATAAAGGTATAAAATTTCTCCCAATTGTGAGGTCATTAGGGAAGGGGACTCTAGTTTATCTTTCTTCTGTCTCACCTCTGGGAAGGGCGGATACAGTATTTGAACTTGAAAATCTAGGGAAAATTAAAAATATATGCAGTAATTTTTGAATATATCTAAAATCACTTGTCTATACTGATGTCTTACATTGATGTCTTATTTTGACATGGAGGTGACCTTAGATTTTTGAAAGCTGTCAGTGGAGCATAAGCTCTAGCAGATCCTATTAAACCTGAAATTCTTCCATATATGGGCCTGGTGGTGGATTTTCTTAGCAGAGGACTTAGGTAGGAGAGGCTTAGCCACCAAAAATTGGCTACCAGGTGATGAATGTTTTCAGCTATAGCAGTTCATGAAGATAGTTCTACTAAGGCACAGGATGACTGCAGTATTTTAGTGGTAGAGACATTTCATATTTGTGTCACACTGTATTTCCCAAAGAATCCTATTCTAGTTTTGGTTAGCTCTCTTTGTTAGGATGTTACATCAAGCCTAAATTTGCATCTTTGTTCTGAAGTAATGTTACACTGAAGAAATCACAGCTGCTTTAAGTATGAAGTCACATTGTTGAGTAACAGAGATATATATTGTCTTACTTAGTTTACTCAAAAGCATCATGTTGACATTAAAATAAATGTTAAATATAACTTATTCAAATACTTTCACTTAACCAATTTTATTTCATAATGGTTTTTTTAAGGGGGCAGCAGTCGAGGTTAAGTAACTTGCCTCTACATAGCTACAAAGTGTCTGAGGTTGGATTTGAACCCAGGTCCTTCTGACTCCAGGGCCGGTTGATCTATCCACTGCATCACCTAACTTCCCCCTATTGCATAATGTTTTAAATTTTTATCCCAAATGAAACTCAAGGCTTATGACCTTCTAAGGCATCTACAGCCTTAGTTTTTACTAGTTGGAGAGAAAGGTGAGAATTTGAACCTGCTGTGTGCTCTTCTGACCCTAAGTCCCTCTTCACCTGCTTGCTATGGATGGTGGAATGCTCAGGGATTGAGAATTGAGATCATTTTACCTTTCTGGAATATATTCTAGGTTGGGAAGTACTGCTTTATGCAGTCAGGGAATTTTGCATATGAACTAGAAGACATCCTAATAAAATATGAAGCTGTTATACTTCTAGTTATTACTATGCTTTAGTTATTGTTTTTCTTCAATTTAATAGTCATTTATTAAATGCCTACTGTGTCTGAGGTGGGAAAATGGCAAATTCAACACCTTTTTCTCAACGCTCATCCTTGTTGACTTCTTTGTCACTGTTGATTACTCTTTT